TTTGAGGGGGGTGGGCAGAGAGAGGGAGACACAGCATCCGAAGCAGGCTCCAGGCTCCAAGCTGTCAGCACAGAGCCCAACGTGGGGCTTGAACTCACCAACAAGGCTCCCAGCTGTCAGCTCAGAGCCCAACGTGGGGCTTGAACTCACTAACCGTGAGATCATGACCTGAGCCGAAGTTGGGCACTCAACCAACTGAGCCACCCAGGTGGCCCAATGTTTATTTGAGAGAGAGAGACACACAGTGTGGGGGGTGGGGGGCAGGCAGAGAGAGGTAAAGAGAGAAAGAGACAAAGAATCTGAAGCCGGAGCCAGGTTCTGAGCTGTCAGTGCAGAGCCTGACACGGGGCTCAAACTCACGAACCTCGAGACCATGGCCTGAGCCAAAGTAGGATGCTTAACCAATTGAGCCACCCAGGCACCCCAACACACTACTAGCATCTTAAAAGCATAATTGTTTGCATAACTGGGATTGAAGGTTGAAGAAAGGAGCATTATAACAAGGAAGGTGAAGTTTGTCTGGCTGGGCCTTAATCACCAGCATTAGTTCAAAGGTGATTCAGTGGATTCCACTGATCTCATTGAGCAGATGAATTCCCTTTTTTACCCTTATGCCTCCTGAGGCTTCATATTTGGACAAAGTAAGTGACCTTCCTGGTTAGATGAAAATCGTTCTTTATTTTTAATTTTATTTGAGAGCGAGAGAGAGCATGAGTAGGAGAGAGGGGAAGAGAGAAAAAGAGAATCTGAAGTAGGTTCCACACTCAGTGCAGATCCTGACTTGGGGCTTGACCCCGTGACCCTGGGATCATGACCTGAGCCGAAATCGACAGTCGGACACTCAACTGACTGAGCCATCCAGGAGCCCTGAAAATTGTTCTGAAGGCAGGACTGCATAAAGATTTGAGCTCCCCTACTGGATCACTCCTAAAAGACTCCAGGGTTTCAATGGTGGTGATAGAGGAGAAGACAGTATTGTGATGCTTGCTGAATGCAATAAACAACAGTGCAGAAGAATAAAGATGTGTGCAGAGTGTATTTGGTGGCATTGTGAATAGTCGAGGTGCAAGCACATAAAGTGGCTAAGGTGGAAGAGCAAACAGGGCAGGGAGATTGGGCTACATTGAAGTATCTTGCAGTCTGGATTTCACTGGGTTGGTTACGAGAAACGGAATACGATTTTAAAATCGGGGTGTTCCATGACTGGACCTGAGTTTCAGTGAGATAATTTTTTCCAGCTGTGTGAAGGATGTTTTGTGTCTGTAGGTCCATATGGAGGCTATTAACAATAGCCCAGACAGTGACAGAGTTTTTACATTTTTTCCCTTGTTTTCAAAATTATATAAACTTCTTGTAGAAAAAAATAGCATACAGAGAAAATGAATAGGCTAAAATAAGCACAACGCAGAAGTAATAACTATTACACACTCTAGTGTTTAATTTCATTCTAATCTTTCCTCTTACAGTTGGGATTTTACTGTAAAGCTAACATCCTGATTTTAACATGTATTTCCCTATACCAATTTTTAAAACTTTTTTAAATGTTTATTTTTGAGAGAGAGAGGGCATGAGTCGGGGAGGGGCAGAGAGAGAGCGAGACACAGAATCTGAAGCAGGCTCCAGGCTCCGAGCTGTCAGCACAGAGCCTGACGTGGGGTTCAAACCCACGAGCAGCGAGATCATGACCTGAGCCGAAGTCAGACACTTAACCAATTGAGCCACCCAGGCACTCCTCCCCATATACATTTTTAAAAACCCATCATAAACATAGCTTTGGTGGCTGCATAATATCCTGCTATATAGATTTCTTGTCACTTAAGCATTCTCCTCATAATGAGCCTTTGAAGTGCTTCAGAGTAAACACCTAACATGAGTCGGGCCATGTAGAGTCTTTCTCTGGGAGTTTTCAAACTAGAATTGGGAAAATCAAGCCATGCCCCACTCTGGAGAAAATTAGCATATTTTCTGCTGAATGAAGAAGCTATTTTATTGATTAGTTCCTTACATATTCTGGATATTAACCCTTTTATCATATATATGACTTACAATTATGTTCTCCCATTCTACAGTTTTCCTTTTCACTCTGCTGTTTCTTTTGATGTGCAAGAGTTTTAAAGTTTGGAGTTGTCCCAAACTTGTTGTCTATTTTTTTATATTGTTGTCTTTGCTTTAGAAGAGTTGTCTGATTTTAATAAAGCCACCAATATAACCCTACCAACACCTTCAGAAAGGGATGCCACCCACCATTAGACTATGTTAACAAAGCACTGGAAGGAAGGGTACCCTGTATCCAAGTGCTACGGTGAACATTTGTGTCTTGTTTTGGATTTATTTGCTCATAGATGTTGCCCTATAAGTACGTTTTTGTTTCTTGACTATCATTGGGCCTAAAAATGTTTACAGAGCATACAGTGAAGATTTTGGATGGATGTTGATTATAAATATGCCTCCAGAATCACTGTGACTATGTATGATATGGGTAAAATTATGGTATAGAGCAAGTGTGGCTCTCATCCCCTCCCCCCACACTCTGTCCAGGTCCATGCAACTCTTCATTGTAGGACCCACCTTCCCACGTAAGTGCCCAAGAGAAGCCCGAGTCTTGGTTCACTGGAATATGGATGAATCTCACCTCACATTAAATATCTGTGTGTGGATTTTACCTTAATTTGGAGTTTAAAGTGATTCCTATTGCAATAAAATCCCTTTCTTCTTCCAGGAAAAAGAAAATAGGGGAAAAATGTAAAAGGAGATACCATTTCTACAGGAACTGGTTAGCAGAGAAGCTTCTCCACGCTGTTATTCCTGCTTCTCACTTCCCTTCCCTCAGTCCCCACATCTCTAGAGCCTTTGATCCCCAAGAATCAGGCCAGAGATTCCGCACTGGGGAAGTCCAAATTCCATGGCAGCTATGGGGTAGGTGGACAGGTGAAATATGTTCTTGGCAACCCAGGAACACTTAAAGTCCTTGTCTAGAGAAATATGATTATCCATGTGGCTAATTCTTCAGGATTATACTACAGTACAATTATGGTTTAAGTGTATTGTTCTGGGATCCTGGCCACCATGAATTTTTTCCTTTGGAAAAAATTTTCAGATAGTCAACTTATAAACACATTTTCAGAAGAAAGACTCTTTATAAGTTGTGACTAACTTTTCCTGTAAACTGAAAGTTAAATTCATTTCCAAGCTATGACACTATTTGACTTTAAGGACACACACACATAAAAACAAACAAACAAACAAACAAAACCCAGAACATTTACAATAAATGTTTAAAACACAGCCCATCAATTAGCTTGAAATAAGCTACTTATGGAGCTTATTATGAAATCACAGGAGAACCCCACAATTTATACATATTGTATATGTGTCAATATGCATACATACATCTTAAAGTTACAATTTGCCAAAACAGCTTCCTTTTATACGGATAAAACAAAGCAACACTGAAGACAAAGCATGAATGCAAGAGAAGGAGGTAATAACTACCATTTTCACTAGTAGTACACCTCAGCTTTGACAATGAAAACATTAGGTATTTCTCGAAGAGTATTCAAAAGATAATGCTCAAAATGGGTTTTGTAAATCATTTATTATGATTGAAAGGGAAGAAAATGATAGGAGACAAATATGACAATTAAACATGTAACGTTATTCTCTTGTAACCAATCATAATAACATACTTTGAATTTTTTAAATGGCTATATAAGTAATTTCCCAGAAAATAAAATTTTCACATCATCAGTTACAGAAAATTGATTTCTTTCCATCAAAATATTTTATCTCTGTTCTATCAAAAATAAATGCCACCATTTAAGCTAAGCCTTCACTACTTGTTCAAATGAGAAGATTTGGAGTGGGGTGTGCTTACCCGATGGTGAAGTAACTATTGCCTGGGAATAAAGTCCTCACACAGATGTAAGCTCTGCCAAGCCTCTGGCTTACCAACTAGTGATTACTGAACAGTTTCCTGGGAACTAAGAAACTCTATTGGATGCCAGCCAAAAGACTCCTGAGAATCATCGCAAATTGGTAACTTGTTTATTCTCAAAAATCAACTTGCTTATGCTGAGAGTGGCTGTGGCTCAAAAGATTCGGGGAAATAGTAAATGGAAATCTATTTCTATGGGGTTTTTTGACCTTCTTTTTGTCATTCCCAATAAAGCAAAAATCTTAGCTGAGCAGTGTATTTCTTGGCTCTGCCCTTTCGAAGGACGCTGATACGAGATGGAATATTTTTATAAAAGTCTTAGTGTGACAACAGTATATTGCCATAGGGAGAAAGCAGCAAAGAGGAAACTATGAAGGCTCTGCCAACAAATTAAATCAGCAGCTAACATTTTTTTTTTCAAATTGGTTAGAAAAAAACAAATACCACACACAAAGTGATAAATACATGTCCAAAAAATAAATACAAATATTCTCCACATAAATAAAATTAAGTATACTCATGATTACTATTGCAATTAAACAGTTTTATAATATAATTTTCATGTCTTATCACAGTTTCATTTTTATCATGAATACTAATTACTTTGTTTTGGCACATACTGGAACGAACTGACCACTCATGTATTCCAGCAAAGTAACACATTTCTAGACTCTCTCAACTAAAAGTTTACCTCCTTTGACAGAAGAATTCTTTCTCTTTTCTTTTAAAATATACTTTGGGGACATTTATACTACAACCATAATTAAAAATGACTATACGAGGGCAAAGTTTTAAGCATCTGTTTGTTTTCAAAGATGTTATTTAACAAAATGAGGTCAAGATGACCCAGCACCAAATGCAAGGAAATGTGGGCAATACTCCAGTGAACTCGGGCCATCCAGTAATAGCCAAGGAATGTGAGGAGTCACTGTCTCGTTTTAAACTTTACACTCCAGTGATCTGAAAAGGTGACAGGCTGCACTTTCTAATACCACACAGGAGGCTCTGGTTACCTAACTCTTGTTTACTCACGGTGATTCCTGGTGCCACAAGCACTGTGCCGGCTCTAAAACTGTGCCACTAAACAGCACCCTGCAGCTGTTGCTGACACTGTACATGTCCTTCCGAACACCATATCGTTCATTAAAAGCACACTTGATCACAGCACTTAATTTTTTGGCAGTGAGCGCTTCCAAATAATTAACTGGTTTGCCAAATGGGAGTTTGGTAGCTCCCTTTGCCAGAATATTTTTTTCAAGAGACAAAACAATGCCACACTGCATGATGTGTCTGATGGCAAGGGACAAAGGAGGTGGAAACATGATGAATTCTAACCCATTTAATCTACGAGAATATCAGCACGTGGGCGAATTTTGTGCTTATGGTTCATTAGTCGTGTTCATTTGAATATTTAAGGATCAAATGAAAGAGAGAAACGCCCACATTTTTGAAGTTCGGAAAACCAGTGTGGGCGCAACACTGCCAGTGTGTCAACGCACTTATCTGCAGCTGATGCAGCCATTGGCTGGAGGGTGGGAGTGAGGGTTCAGGCTCCCGAGCTTTCAGAGCAGAGTGGGGCCTTTGGTTGGTCTGCTGCTTGACAGCAGGGGCTGGCCTCCCGCTGCCCTGGCTTCCGGCCCCCGGGTCTGGGCTGAGAGCAGAGCCGGAGCAGAGAGGTGGTGAAAGGCTGCCTTTTGCTGATGGAAGTTGTTTATGTAACTGGCGATCAAAAGAGTGATTTCAAGAATCTAAAGCAAGAAAAATAGACTCGTTAATGCTCCGGAGAAGTTCTCATCACTTTCAAAAGAGGAAAGGGCTGGCGGTCTCCATATGTGCAAGTGCCCAGGCTAGCAGAATCCCCTCCTCTCCAGATCTGTGAAGTACTTACATGTTCAGCACCATCAAGGCACTGACACGTTCTCCTGCTGCTTAAACCGGCGGAAGAGTGGATCTTAACAATCAAATGTAGCGGCAATGTTTTGTGACGGTAAAAAATGTGACAGTAGCACAGGCTGCCAATTATGTGTGCGTATGTGAATCAAGAACCTCAGTGCATAATATCAACTTTTTATTGAGACTAGGTGAAGTCCTGAGTATGTCTCAATCTTCTGCACTTACTGGCCTTTGCTTCAGTGTCTGCTATTGAAAAAAAGGTGTCAGATTCTAAAAAAGTAGTCTCTTTTGGTTGATAATTTTAAGACAATTTTAAAGTTTTAGGGAACTCGATGCTTCATTCTTTTTACAAAAACTGGAATTACATACTAAAATGTAGCCCTTGTATTTACTGTTTTTACTTATCGACGTTAAAACTACAAAGGACGGGGCGCCTGGGTGGCGCAGTCGGTTAAGTGTCCGACTTCAACCAGGTCACGATCTCACGGTCCGGGAGTTCGAGCCCCGCGTCAGGCTCTGGGCTGATGGCTCAGAGCCTGGAGCCTGTTTCCGATTCTATGTCTCCCTCTCTCTCTGCCCCTCCCCCGTTCATGCTCTGTCTCTCTCTGTCCCAAAAAATAAATAAACGTTGAAAAAAAAAAAAAAAAACTACAAAGGACAAGTAAAGTCTTAATTATAAAACCTCGCTCTTCCCACTAATGAGTCCGTAACTTGAATTACCCCAAGTAAATAAGATAATGTGTAAAAGGTACCTGACAACAACTTACATCAAGACCACTTATTTTGAACCTTCTGTATACCAGGCATTGGGCTAAGGCATTTTAACAATTCCATCATTTAATTCTTAAAGCCAAAAAAAATAGGTAGCCTCCTATAATTTTTTAGAGGAGGAAACCAAAGCTTAGCAAGATGAGGTAAGCCAGAATTTAGACCTAGGATTGTCTGATTGTAAGTAAGTCTGTTTTCCCATCTGCAACCTACTTTTTGCACAATAAATGTGTTAGCATGAAAAAACTAGTATAAAAAAAGCTGGTAGAAAGGCTTCTACTCACCTTGGGTTTTGCCATGGCAAAAAGTAATTTCTCTGTTGGTTTGTCCTTTGAATGTGTATTGTTAATGACTATCATAAAATCATCTTGATGACCTCCAAAGGTCATTAGACTCTTGTACACATAGCTGATTATTAACCTCTTCAAAGAGAAGAAAAAGTTAATATCTTATATACTCTTTACTTTCAAAGAAAGATGAGAAATGATTAATAGCATATATTTCCATTAAAATGCTGATATCAATGAAACTAACTTAACATTATATGTTAACTATACTTCACTAAAAAAGAAAAATGCTGGTATTAATTACATATAATACAAAGAATTATTTTCTAAAAGAAAATCTGTTATGATTTAAAATAGTAATGTACTAATTTTATGGAGGCATCATTTACGTTTATAATTAAAATATAGTTTGATTCTGAAGCTAATAACTCAATGCAGACAAAACAGAAAATACAAAAAGAAAATCAAAAGCACCTATATTCCAGCATCCAGTAGAAGAACACGGTTAATACCTTTGTAAATGTCCTTCAAGATCTCTCTCTATACATATTAGGTTGAACCATGTGAAACTGATACTTTTTTTTTGAAACTGATACTTTCTAAGGTAAAAAATGGTCGGTCAAATATCGGCAAAACTATATGGTTCACCCTGATATATAGATTTTGATATATATAAACAGAAATAGTATGGTGCATATTGTTCAGGATTCTGCTTCTTTTTAAATTTAACAACAAATTATAAATATCTTCCCATGACAACAAATATACTTGTATAACATTATTTGAAATGATTTGATAATCTTTTATTTAACCAATCTCTTATTGCAGGAAATTTAAATCATTTTTTATTTGTTACTATCTTGAACAATACTTCAATGCATATATTCTGACATGTTTCATAATACACATAGCTAATTATTTCTTTAGTTGTAAATCTCAATTAGAGGAATTGTTACTTCAAAAAAGTAAGGACAATTTTGAGAATATTTCCAAGTTCTCCTGGGGAAAAGTTATATCCAGTTATATTCCCAGCACTGTAGTCTTGCTAACACTAGATATCACCATTCTTTTATTTATTTTTTATTTTTTTAAAAAAAGAGAGAGAGCAGGGGAGGGGCAGAAAGAGAGGAGGAGAGAGAGAGAATCCCAAGCAGGCTCCATGCTGTCAGCCCCGAGCCCAACTCCAGGCTCGATCTCATGAACCATGAGATCATGACCTGAGCCGAAACCAAGAGTTGGGCACTTAACCGACTGAGCCACCCAGGTGCCCCTACATTAATGTTATCTTAAAGATTCTCATTTACACAGGAAGCAATCTTCCTAACACTATAAATGAATAGTTGTTTTATGAATACAACCATGGTTGCAATTTAGTCATGGTATTTAGTATTTTCCTCATATGCAATTCAAAACCCGTCCAATCTTGTTTTAAAAGGTTAAATAGCAGGGGCGCCTGGGTGGCGCAGTCGGTTAAGCGTCCGACTTCAGCCAGGTCACGATCTCGCGGTCCGGGAGTTCGAGCCCCACGTCAGGCTCTTGGCTGATGGCTCGGAGCCTGGAGCCTGTTTCCGATTCTGTGTCTCCCTCTCTCTCTGCCCCTCCCCCGTTCATGCTCTGTCTCTCTCTGTCCAAAAATAAATAAATGTTGAAAAAAAAAAAAATTAAAAGGTTAAATAACAATCACAGTTGTATTTGTAAAAATGACTATTCATGATAGTATTAGGAAGAATGTTATGGGGGCACTTGGGTGGCTCAGTTGTTTAAGCATCAGACTGTGGCTCAGGTATTGATCTAACGGTTCATGGGTTTGAGCCCTGTGCTGACAGCTCAGAGCCTGGCGCCTGCTCTGGATTCTGTGTCTCCCTCTCTCTGCCCCTACTCCCATTCATACTTTGTCCCTCTCTGTCTCTGAAAAAAATAAACGTTCAAAAAATTTTTTTTAGAAAGGAAGGATGTTATCTGTGTATAAGAAAAAGCGTATGAAGAGATCATTACCTTCTGTGTATGTACATTGAGCAATGCAAACAGTTGACTCAACGTGCAACTTAATCTTACCATGGAATTGTATTCTAAGACGCTTAAGCCATCCTCGTGGATAGCCAGCCACATGACAGTACTTCCGAGTGGTGATGGAGTTATGGGCTGTGAAGAGATGAAAACATAATAAACGCTAACCAAATCACAGAAATAGTTTTTAGTCACAATGCAGTGCAACATTTGCAACAACAACAGCAACTTATTTTTATTGAAAATATCTCCTGAAGGAGAAAAAAGAGAACACGAAACCTACGGGGGGAAAAAATCTCTCCTGGGGCAGAGGCGGTGGCATGTAATGGAAAGAGCAGTGAATCTGACAGCAGGGGACCTGGGTCTGCGTTCTCAATCTGCCATTTATTAGCTGTACAATTGGAAACGCTACTGAATCTGTCTGAGGCTCAATTTCTTCATCTTTAACATGGAACAACAGTGTTTACATCTTATTTTTCTTTTGTGTTAAGAGGCTAAGAGTTAATAAGCTTGTTGGTTTTCTATGAGGACCAAAATCCTAATGAAACAAAATACATGTGTGTTTCTAAGGTGTGTAAATGCATACTTTTTCTGAAAGTTTATTGAATCTGACACTCAAATGACTCACAATGATAGAATAAAAAGAAAAGATGAAACTGTGTGATGAATGGTAATGAGAAATACCAAATTTTCCACTAAATTCCTTATTGTAAAAAACAATGAAATTATATTAATAAAAAGAATCTCTCACCACTAAACCCCAATTAAAACCCATGAATGTTTTTGAGCATTCCACAATGATTGCTCAACAATAAGTGAATTTAACAATGACTAAAATTCTAACAAAAACTTAACTACTTTTCCTAAACCTTATGAAAGTATGCTGAGACCATAGATAAGCAACTGGGATGAATCTGTAGTATTTACACATATACTATATTTGTATAAGGTAAAAGTTATCAGAATCTCATGTATAAAAACCCCTGGGTTACTATCTACTGAGAGTCTGTTTGCTAAGGATAGGCAAGCATTAAAAGGATGCTGGGGTGCCTGGGGGACTCAGTCAGTGAAGTGTCCGACTCTTGATTTCAGCTCAGGTCATGATCCCAGGGGTTGAGCCCTGCATCAGGCTCCAGGCTGTGTGAGCCTTCTTGGCATTCTCTCTCTTTCCCTCTGCCCCTCCCCGTGCTCATGTTCTCTCTCTCTCTCTTTTTAAACAATTTAAAAAAATATATATGTATGTGTGTGTATACATAAATATATATATATATATATATATATACACACACACACACACAAACACACACACACACACACACACACACACACACACACACACGATGCCATTTAACCTAAGCCATTGAACCCCCAGTCCTTTGACAAACAAAATGTTGTTTTTATTGTCCTTTGGTCAAACAAAATATGGCATATACATGCAATGGAATATTATTCAGCTTTTAAAAAGAAGGAAATTTGGACACACGTTACAACACTGGATGAACCTTGAAGACATTCTGCATAGAAAAATAAGCCAATCACGAGGATGTAGAGAAAGAGGAACCCTTCTGCACTGTTGGGGGGAATGTAAACTGCTGCGGCCACTCTGGAAAACAGTGTGGAGGTTCCTCAAAAAGTTAAAAATAGAACTACACTACAACCCAGCAACTGCACTAGTAGGTATTTATCCAAAGGATACAAAAATGCTGATTCGGAGGGACACTTGCACCCCAATGTTTATAGCAGCACTGTTGACAATAGCCAAATTATGGAAAGAGCCCAAATGTCCATTGACTGATGAATGGATAAAGAAGATGTGGTATGCATATAAAATGGAATACTACTCAGCGATTAAAAAGAATGAAATCTTGCCATTTGCAACAACATGGATGGAACTAGAGGGTATTATGCTAAGCGAAATTAGTCGGTCAGAGAAAGACAAATATCATATGATTTCACTCATATGTGGAATTTAAGATGAAAACAGATGAACATAGGGAAGGGAGGCAAAAATAATATAAAAAACAGAGAGGGAGACAAACCGTAAGACACTCTTAAATACAGAGAACAAACTGAGGGTTTCTGGAGGGGTTGTGGGTGGGGGGATGGGCTAAATCAGCAAGGGGCATTAGGGAGGGCACTTGTTGGGATGAGCACTGAGTATCATATGTAAGTGATGAATCACTAAATTCTATTCCTGAAATTATTATTACACTGTATGTTAACTAACTTGGATTTAAATGAAAAAATAATAATAATTTAAAAAACGAAAAAAAGAAAAAGGAGCCAACCACAAAAGGACAAATATTGTATGATTCCTCTTACATGAGGTTTCTAGAGCAGTCAAATACACAGAACAGGAAGCAGAATGGCGGATATCAGGGCCCCGGGGGAAGGGAGAATAAGGAGTATGGAGGTTTAATCTGGGAAGATGAAAAAGTTGTGGAGATGGATGGTGGTGAGGGGAGCATGATAATGTGAATGTGCTTAATGCCACAGAAACGTACACTTAAAAACGGCTAAAATAGGGGAAAAAGTTAAAACGGTGTATTTGATAGTATATATACTTACAGCCCCCGATGGATGCTATTAAGCAAAGGAGGTGTCTGCATAGAATAAAGAAAGAAGAGTAAAGAAAAGATGCCAGTCATGCAACAAGCAAATGCTACATCATTATTTAATAATATTTCTGTGCTAAAAAAGCACAGAGCACATAATCAAAGAAGAATATTTAGTATTCCTTCTGATGCTGAAATCAGAGTTAAAATTCAGTGTAAAATGCTACTCTACAGTTCAAATCTAGTCCTTACATTTGTAAAAAACATGTTCAACTCCTTGCAAATATATTCATTTCACAGATGTTTAAGCATAATGACAGCACCCACTTACTCATTAGTATACAGCTTTCAGTACCAGGAGCAGTATAATTTCTTACCTCACAATGATACTGCCACTCATGGAATTAGAATGAGAAGATACCCTAGATTTTACTTTTCTAGCCTGAGTTGTCACTTACAGATGATAAAAATGAGGTTCAGAGAGGCTAACTGACTTGCCCAAAGTGGCACAGCTATTCAGCAAAAATGTATTACGTGGTATTTACATGCAAAGAATAACGGTGTGCACAAGATGAGGATTTCAGGATCAGTGAGTCTACACCCTCAAGATGCCTACAACTTATTAATGAGGACAGACCAAACACATACACACATATACCACAAAACAAGGAGTATTTTAGGAGCCTGAGAGACTATAAAGTGACATGGTTCCACAGAAAGAAGAGTTCAAAAAGTACAGTTCTTCTCTTGGGTATTGGGCTGGCCACCTGCTGGCAGGGCTCACCTCTCCTTCCTCAGTATTCCCACAGCGCCCTGTCCCTGTCACTCTTAACCATGTTCACTCTACGGTGCTTGTTTGCGGGCCTGTTGCAACACTGGATTGTGGGGTCCCGGAAGTTTGGGTACAACCCATCTGAAACCATGGGCTTATGTATCTCTAGATACATAATGTTTGGCAAACAGAAGTCACTAGACATTAAATAAACAAGCAAACGAGTGAGAGAGTAAATGATAAATGGGTGAGAGGATGCATGGATGCGGACAAGAAAGTGGAGTTCAGCTGCTGCCTTCAGTCTAGTGATGAGCCTGCAGAATGCAGGTGACTTAAGGTTGGCGGCAAGACGGAGAAGCTGGTGACACTCCTGCCCTTTCCTTAGTGTCCCTTCATGGTTTTCTTTTCTTTTCTTTTTACATTTATTTTAGAGAGGGAGGGTGTGAGCGGGGGAGCGGGGCAGAGGGAGAGAGACAGAGAATCTTAAGCAGGCTCCACGCTCAACTTGAAGCCCAATGCAGGGCTCGATCCCACAACCCTGAGATCATGACCTGAGCTGAAATCAAGAGTCAGATGCTCAACAGACTGAGCAGCCCAGGCATCCCGCCTTATTTTCTTTTTAAAAGCCGGATATACTAAACTTGGGGTCACCGTGGTCACTGTGTTACTTCAGTGAACTGCACAGGGGCAACTATACAGGTGAACGTTTCTATTCCGCATCTCCCTCCCATCCTTTCTTACTTTTGCAAGAAATAACTTGGCACCAAAGAATGGCCACTTCCTGGCTACTGTCAAGTAAATGCGCACACAATCAGCAGCACTGTGTCCCCGGAGGGCCATCCATCTGGTTGACAGTCGCTGGCAGAGCTGCCTAAGAAAAGAACAGAAACGAAAACGCAAAAGCAAAAACAAGAACATAAACAGTGTATCCTCCTCCCAAGGGAAAGCTCTCCTTGAGCCAATCCTGGGACAATTGGGGTACTGAGGTGTCACCCAGGAGGAGCTGTGATCTTGTGACTCCCATCTCACCACTGTCCACCCTTGTCCTTTTGGCACATTCCTCTCACTAAATTCTCATACTATTAGTGCTTTCAGCATGATCCAAGTTCCCCATTGGGCAAAGTTAAAAAAAGTCTGATAAGCTAACATCAAACCTTAGTGTAAATTAGTTTTAAAAGGTAATTTCTCATTGGAATGGCTTTCATTTTTAAAGAGAAGTACAAGACATTGAAACCAAAGAATGAATCCCTAATGGGGGAATTTTAGGTACTACCACCCCTGGCTTAGAGAGATGTTAGCTGCAGGGGAGATGCCTTAAATAAAATCACAATGGCAACTGCTTACTTCTACAGAGACAAGAGCCTGATCTTAAATGTTTCTATTTTGGAAAACTCATTGAATTGGATTTGCCTCTATTTTTAAATTGAATTACCCTTTCTTCATATAGTCTCTAAAACCAAAATTCCAAATTAGTTGAATTCAATTAAAAATTTATATTAAAAAAATCTTGTGTAGGCAGATAGTTTGTTTTTATTCTAATTTGTTTATAATAGAATACCATAAGAGATACAACTTTTTGGTAAACACTTCATAACACTAAACACAGTACTGGCCATTTTTTTTTTTCTTTTTATTAGTAGGGTTAATTTGGACAAGAATGAATAAGATCAAATGAAAAGTAGATCTTCTAACTTAAGGTAAACATCTTTTCTTTAAAACTTTAAATACGGATTCTCAAGTTTCTAGGCCCATCTTAAATGAGAAGATCGATAACCTCTTGGTAGTCAACAGTATTAAAAAAATCTTAAGAAAATGATCACGTATAATGATTTTCATCTTTAAAATTTGAACAGAAAAATATCACCAAGACACCAGTGTGACTCTACCCTTAAAGAGTCACAAGTACTTCCTTACCTTAACTGTTCTTCAGAGGAGTCATCTCTATACCTTTTAGGATAAAATTTTTCTATGACTTGTTTTAGAGTTTGATTTGCTTTGCACTGATTAGGAACATGCCCTGCTGGAGTCGAAAAGGGTCTTTCAAAATCTCCAATCTCCACCTAATTGCAAATCCAAAAAGAAAATGAAAGGTATTGAAGAGTCTTTTTTTTTAATTAGTTTCATTGTTTCTGAACATTCTTTATAATATATAAATCTATTTGTCATGATTGTGTGATTATGGAATTTATAACCATACATAAGTATTAATAAAATCTAAATTCCATTTGAATTCTAATTTAGAAAAAAATCTGTAATTCAAACATTTCAATTCCATTTCTACATCAACCACTCTTGGTTAATGCTGCCATCTAGTAGTATTTGCTAAGGGCCACTAACACTATTAGCTATAAGAGCATAGGATAATTTTTTGTTTTTAGGGTACTAGTTGCTAATAATAAAGCAAAATGGGAGCTAATAATAAAAGACAAAAGAGTTATAAAGCTATGAGAAATCTCAGAAAAGTATTATTTGTACTTAAAGGTCTCCACTGAATATAATGGGAGTAAGAATGACATTCTCATTACTGTCTTCCTAGATTTTCTGCATAAATGGTTCTGTATCCATCTACTTGCCCTATTATTCTGGGAATAGAGTCCTGTATTTCCCTTTCATCTTGAATGAAAGAATGTTCAATCCTTATCTCTATGAACAGACTACACAGATGCCATTCTCTACCCACCCACCCATCTCTCTATCCACTCATCCACCCATTCATTCGTCCAAACCTATATGGAGTCTCCATTATATGTCAGGCACATATTAAGTGAAGTGAGAAAAAACAAACAAACAAACAAACAAACAAAAAAAAAAACAGCTGAGCACAGTTCCTACCCTCAAAGAGTTTATTGTCTAACAGAGGAGGCTGAAGTATAAACAAGTTGAGTATAAACAAGTTGTTTATATTTGTAACGACCCATGTCAAGTGCCTTATATAGGGTACCAAAGAGGGCTCAAGGAGGGAAATGGAGTGGGGACATTCAGATGAATGTCCTACTGATCATTCACATCCTTACCTACAACACTCCCCAATAAACAGATGGAGGGTTCCATCCAGACTAGGCTGGGTCTCCATCTCAAGGGGATGTTCTGCCTCCAGGTAAGCTGTTAGCACAACTAGCCTCTGAGATTCTGACCCCTGTGGCTTCTATTTTCTAGCTCTTAGTTTGATCCATTGCCATCTAAATTCCTTAGCTGAACCTTACACTTACAATGTATTCTACCTTTCCAGGTTCTCTGACCAGTTTCTTAGTTGTTGGTTTCTTGGCTTGGCCCTGCTATTCAACTCTCATCCTCATTTCCTACCTCCTTCCCTAATTTCCCCACACTAAATATAAGCTGTCCATCTGTTCTTCAAACATACTGAAATCCTTCCCCCAGAGCAAGCTTTTTATTGTCCTCACCTATCACCAGACCATACTCGGCACAGCTATCTGTGAAACCTAAGAGCAAGCTTCATCCCCCAAGGAGATGGCAGTTGGACAACCAACAGTCACAAAAATAGGCCATTCAAGGCAACGTTTTCTCTTAGGGAACCGTACAGTGGAATCTCCAAGGTCAGTGTCAGGAGGAGCACATAAATGTTTGCAGGATAACTGAAAATCAACTCAGAGAGTTCCCAATATGACTCACATCAACACGATGCCCTACCAGACACTATGCACAATGATTAATGATCAGCTCCAGGAATTTCCTAAGAAAGAGAGTATCAACAAGGGCCTAGAGATAGTCAAATCTTCAACAGAAAGAACTTTTCTTCTACAGATCTCAGATGAGTATATTTAATTTGTCTTCACAAAGACTACTCTGAGGAAAAGAGTTCGGAGATATTATTTAATTTTCCTTTCATAGATGGAGAAATTATACTTTTCAGTCAGTAACATGTTCAGAATTTTCTAGGTGTACGCATAGTCTTACCTCCCTACTCTTTCCTTAAATTCATCTAAAACATGTTAGAAGTATATCTCTCTCAAAGACATTATAATTTTTCTCAGAAAAACTTTCTGATAAAATTAAAAATTGAAAGAGGACGACTAACTTAAATTTTAGTGAAAATGAGAGTGATTTTAAAGAGATGCCTTTAGAGGACTAGAACCTAGAATGGCAAGGGATAGGAAATCATACCTAATCCTATCACCAAGAAAGTTTGTGACCTATTTGTCTTTTCCTTAGCTTTTCATTGCTTGCAAAATGAGAACCCTCAGTGCAGCAGGGATGCTTTAAAGTTTGGAGGACCATAAAATTGTTATAAAAAGTAAACTCAATTATTAACTATTCATCCATCCAATGGAGAATGGACTATGTGTAAGGCACTGTGCTAGGTACAAAGATGAATAGGGACAGCCCTTTCCCTCAGGGAGGCTACAGCCAGTGGTGTGAAGCAGAAACAAATGAATAATAATAAACCTTTGAGGTAAAGACAGTACCGTGCAGGACATGACAAAAACCCCAAGAGGGACACTTAACCCACGCAGGCAGAATTCAGGAAGGCTTCCTGGAATTAGTGACACCTCAGATGAAAATTGAAAGATAAATTGAGGGGCACCTGGGTGGCTCAGTCAGTTAAGCATCCGACTCTTGGTTTCGGCTCGGGACATAATCTCTCAGTTATGGGTTCGAGCCCCACGTCAGGCTCTGTGCTGACAGCAAGGAGCCTCCTTGGGATTCTCTCCCTCTGCCCCTCGACCAATTGCTCTCTCTCAAAATCAATCAATCAATCAATAAATTTTTTAAAAAAGGATACATTGAAAGTAACAGGTGAAGGAATGGGGGTTGAGATGTTTCAGGTGGAGCAGACAAATAAGTACACAGAAGAGGTAAGAAAAAGTGAGCCATATGCAAGTCAGGGAATTGTGCAGGGAACCAAAGTTTCCATTTTGCTGGAGCATAAAGTTCAAAGCAGGGAATATTAACAGATGACGCTGGAGAGGCAGGTGGAGTGCAGCTCACAAATGCCCTGTGTACACAAGGGAATGACAGCGAGATCCACCTGTCGGCTAGATCTCCACCCCAATTCCAGAGCTTCCAAACAGAGCACCACGGCTCAGCCTCCCAGCCGGGTCTTAAGAAAATGGCGGCCCCCACTTCCTGTCCCTCTTTCCGGACGTTGCTCTTGCCACCCAACCGCCATTCTGTGGGGAAGCACACGCAGCCACATGAAGAAGCCACGCGTAGGTGTTCCCACTGATGGCCCCAGCTCAAGTCCCAACTAACAGCCAGCGCCAGACACCAGACGTGTGAGTGAACTCTGCAGCGGCAGAGTCACAGCCAGCCTTCGAGCAAGGCCAGCTGCGGCCATATGCAGCAGAGACCAGCTGTCCTTACTCATCCCTGCCCAAACTATTATGTTAAGTGGCTGAGTCCTGCAGTCATTTCTTTATGTAGCAATAGCTAACTAGAACAATCTCTCCAGCATCTGGGTGGAGCACAGATTTGTAGGGGATCAGACCAGAGAAAGGCTCATGAGCTAGAAGCCTGCTGCAGGAGAGCAGGCTGGACGCGATGGTGGTCCGACACCCAGCAATGATGACCAAAATGCAGACGAGTGAAGAGGAGAATGTATCTTAGAGTTACAATGGGCAGGATGTGGTGACTGGTGGGACCGAGTGAAAAGGAGGGCAAGTCGGTGATGATTCCTGGACTCGAAGCTTGCATGAGGAGACAGCAGCACAGTGAAGATACAGAAGGTGAAGGAAAAGGAGAGAAGACAGTTCGGTTCCTGCTGGGCCGAATTTAAGGAGTGCATGAGAGAAGTGAACTGGAGAGAAAAGATTTGGGAACCCCCGGCACAGGTGGTAAATAAAGAGATGTCCTGGGACGGTGTGCACTGTGCAAGGACCACAGACTTCGGGAGATCTAAGCCTTTGTCCCAATGACGTATCACAGAGTTGCCTTAACACTGTTCCTTAATTAAGCTGTGCAGAGACTCATTTGTGGTGCAGACTGTGAGCTGCCTCTTACGACTCTTCTCTCTTTTCCGAGTAATAAAAACCTTGGACTTACTTAGGAGCTGTGCTCCTTGCCAGCCAGCTAAGACCATATTTGCTAGTCTCCCTTGTAGGCTGGCAAGGCCATACAACCAAGTTCTGACCAGGGAGACATAAATGGAAGTGTTCTCTGGGTAACTTCTGGAAAGTTTCTCAAAGGAGGAAAGGCATGCCCTGCTTCAGCCCTTCCTCCATCCTGATGCCTGGGACACTGATGTAATAGCTGGAGCTCTGGTAGATCTCCAGGACCATGAAAAGGACATGTTAGGGAAAGAAGAATGGAGAGCAAGATAAAGCCCATGCCTCTGGCGACTCTGCAGAGGTGCCAGATTGCCTGTCTCTCTACGTGACAGACAAATACCTTTCTATTTGGATTAAGTCACTATTGATTTCTGCGTGTGTTTATAAACGTCTGAACTTAATCCTATCGGTACAATAGGTAAATAAAAGAAAGTGCTCTAGTCTTTTAAAAGACCCATTCCTTTTTTTTTTTTTTTTTAGTATTTATTTAGTTTTGGGAGGGCGCAAGCAGGGGAGGGGCAGAGAGAGCAGGACAGAGGATCGAAGCGGGCTCTGCGCTGACAGGCTGACAGCAGCGAGCCTGATGCAGGGCTCGAACTCACGAACCATGAGATCATGCCCTGAGCCGAAGTCGGACGCTCACCGATTGAGCCACCCAGATGCCCCGAAAAGATCCATTCCTATTAGATTACTGAATGATTTCAGCACGGCATCTTCAGCCCTGCAACTCTACACTGAAATTCCTTTACTAAATGCAGAGCCTAGTGGGATACTGTTAAGATAACTAAGAAACCAGGTTCCACGAGGAATACTGTCTCAGTCAACATCACCGCCGTGGTTGTCAGCAATTCAGAGTCAAACTGTAATTATATGCCTGTAAGTTTTAAGGTGTTAATCACAGCAACGTGAATTTAAAGAATTACAAGGTATATTGTTTTGCTATACTTCAATCAATGTAGAAATTAGGATCTTACCTTTAACAAAATATTACTTTATAAAACATGGAAGTTACCTGAGCTAAAAGAGCTGCCATTTCTAATGCCAGGTCCTTGTTCAGAGGAAAAAGTCCGTTTATTATTTGATCATTTGTCTGATACATTAACAGCAACTTTTCTCTATCAGTCTCTCCACGAGCTTGCATTGAGAAATACAGTCTTAAAAGAAGAGGAAATCTTTCGTTACATGGTATTCTTACAAAGAAAGAAAGGAAAGACAAATCCAGGGGACTGATACAGGGTTATTCTAAGGTAGTTCTCTATGTGATACAAACTTAGAGCATGACTCTCAGTCCATCTCTGTTTCTGTTTCATATTAATGTTTCCAGCAAACAGAGGAAAAGCTGCTTTGAGGTTAAGGAATGCTTCTATGCTATTTTTTTTTTTTTTTTTGCCCTAAAATACCCAATCCTTTACTGAGGAAGGACCTAAGGTACTGAACGAAATTAAATATGCCCCTTCTTGTAAGGAATGCTGATGTAACCCTTCAATTCAATGGGCTGTATAAAAGCAATTGTCAAAACACTCATGATCTTTCCTAAATACCTTGGAAATATCACGGAAGAGAAAAATGAAGATCTGAATTCAAACTCAACATCAGGGGCGCCTGGGTGGCTCAGTCAGTTAAGCATCCAACTTCGGCTTAGGTCATGATCTCGCGGTTCATGGGTTTGAGCCCTGCATCAGGCTCTGTGCTGACACTCAGAGCCTGGAGTCCTGCTTCGGATTCTGTGTCTCCCTCTTTCTCTGCCCCTTCCCCCACTCACACACACACTCTCTCTCTCTGTTTCTTTATCTCAAAAATAAATAAACATTAAAAAAATTTAAAAAATCAACATCAAATTGGGGGTGGCAGTTTTCTCTGGAGGGTCTAAAAGATATTACTTGTACATTTTAACTTTTTTTCCCCCCACATCCAGGTAAGCATCTTTAGGAGCTCAAACATAGTTTACATGTGGATATTATTACTTGTTGAAATAGGAGATATCTTCTGTTTGCCTAGGAGGACTTCAGCATTTCAGTGATCTTCTTTATTTATTCACTATGCCACTCCACTATTCGGGAGACCTCTGGGGGCTCTGACTTCAGGCTGCAGACCAGGCACAGGGTGCTATAAATGCTGTAGATGTTACGACGATGGGGTGGGTAAGCAATACACTGCTCTACTTGAATGTTGGCAGGACAACAGAGTGGCAGGAAAAGAGAGATTTAGATTCAGCATGTGTTAGGAATGTGCCCAATTAGCTCTAAGTGGATTTTCAGCTTTTCCTCCCCACACCCTTCCAGGAGAGGACACACTGGCATCAGTTACAGTATCTTTCACACTAATTATCTCTGTTGGCAGGGAATCCCAGGGAAGCATGGTGGGTGGACTCTGAAAAGCTCTTCCCTCCCATGACTTTGATAATTCTTCCCACCCACCACACTTAGGAATCGCCAACCCATGCAATCATTCAGAGTGGTCTCTGGAAAAAAACAAATCCTAAGCCCTACTCATCTGTGACTGCATGATGATAAGCTGCTAACTCACAGAAGACTATGGCTGGGCAATAGAGTCTAATAGAGTCTAAATTCAAAATGCTACTAGGGTGCCTGGGTGGCCCAGTCGGTTAAGTATCTGACTCTTGATCATGGTTCAGGTCATGATCTCACAGTTCATGAGTTCGAGCTCCACATTGGGTTCTGCATTGATGGTATGGAGCCTGCTTGGGATTCTGTCTCTCCTTCTCTCTGCTCCTCCCCTGCTTGTGCGCTCTCTCTCTCAAAATAAATAAATAAACTTAAAAAAAAGAGAGAGAGAGAGAATGCTATCAGCAAAGTGATATAAAACAAAGAGAATAAAGTTTAAGAAGAAAGCCCTCTCTTTTCGGCATAGCTTATTTCCTCCACTTGAAGTTAAGAACTATGTCTTACTCTGGTTTAAGTAAGGTTCTTAATAAAAGTTTGAATTGATAATAAAGGTAGAGGGAAAAAAGGACCAGATATGCAAACAGGTGCGGGCAAGAAGACCTAAAGTGCATTTTCTATTCTTATTGGCATTCTGGAAAGATGGACCTGGGAGGGGAAATGAAGCACTATGATCAAAAAGGGAAAAGCAATCCAGGGCAAGTATATAGGAAGACAATACGTACAATCGTTGACTGAAGCTCCTAAAGAAACAGTCTGCACTCCAACGACTGTACAAGGACTTGGAGAGAATGTGGAAAGGAACCAAAGAGTCACAAAAATGATCAAGAATCAGAAACTCAAATCCACAGTCTTGGACAGACGAGGTGCCAGGGGAATGTGATGTGAGTGTCCCCAAAATGACCAGCTTCTAGGCACTCCCTAGTCCCAAAGAGGCCTGCAGCAGAGGAAGTGGGCTTCTCTTCTGCAGGCAGGGCCTGGGTTAGACAGCAGGGTATCTGCAAATGTGCACCTCCTCACTTGATACCAGGAAGCGGAATACTGTGGGATGGAAATGTTCAGGACCAGTTCTGACCCCTGGACACTGCTTCTGAACGCGGTAGGGCTCTCAGCGCTGCTGGGGAACCCATTGTTTGCCTCCAACTGGCTCCGTATTTCGTTCCTAAGAGCATTTACATCCTACTGTCGTCTTTCTCCTCCCTTTGTTAACTTGCTGAAGGGGCAGCTTGCCTTCACCTTCCAGTTACCTTCCCGTCACTCCTCCATCCACCATGGTCTACGGTAACACCACTGAACTGCAGTCGTGAACCCCCCACCCCCCACCCCTTGCCTGCCGCTGCCTCTCTGGCTACCATCTCAAGTCACCTGCTCAGAAAGCACCACTCTGCAAAGGCTTCCTCTATGGTCCCACAATGTCTTGTATATACGCATGTTATATTCATGGTAAGAGCCAATAGTGGTGGACGTTTACTGTGTGGCTAGAGCCAAGTGCTATACATTTGCCAACATGCAGTCCTTCAGACAACCCTAGAAGCAGGCACCATTTCCATTTCATATAGAGGGCATCGAGGCACAGAGATGGTAAGTGACTTACTCAAGGCCACACAGTGAGTGGGAGAGCCAGGATTCTAACCCAGGCAGTTTCTCTTCAGAGGCCCTATTCTTCACTACTCTGCTCTACTGTTTCTGTTACAGCATTAATGACATTGCTAAGATTTCATGCCTGTTTCTCCCTATAAACTGTAAGCTTCTAAAGGGTAGAAGCTTATACCTTTGAACCCTCTGTTCACCTTTGAACCCCCAGGGCTTCCACAAGGTCTGGCCCTGGAACACACTGAACAGATTGTTTCCTGAATGAATGGGTAAATGAGTGGTAGTAAGAATTGCCAATCATGGGAATTATTTGCCAAAACAGCCTGAAAAATCCCCTTCTGTAGTCTTAGGTAGTTTCCTCACCTGTAAGATGGAGATAATAGTGATACTGGTCTCATAGGGGAGTCGTGAGGATTATATGAGAAGATGCATACAAGGAGCTCAGCACCAGGCCTGGTGTGTGGTAAGTGGTCAGTAAATGTTGGTTATTATTATTATTATTACTACTTGTATCACTAGGGTTCTTGTCTAGAGGTCTTCAGAATCACAAAAGTCCCTTCCTTCCGGAATTTTTTTTGTTTTATTTTTAAAAAAATTTTTTTAATCTTTATTTTTCAGAGAGAGACAGACAGTGCGAGCGGGAGAGGAACAGAAAGAGAAGGAGGCACAGAATCCAAAGCAGGCTCCAGGCTCTGAGCTGTCAGCACAGAGTTCCATGCAGGGCTCGAACCCACAGACAGAGAGAGCATGACCTGAGCCGAAGTCAGATGCTTAACTGACTGAGCCACCCAGGCGCCCCTGTTTTGCTTTGTTTTGTTTTACGGTACAACAGCCTTTACTGTTTGCAACAGGAAGTGGAAGAGGACGGGACATGGGCACGACAGCTCTGGCACCCGGGGAAGTTTCAAAGACCTACTCTGTCTCTGTCCCCCAAAAAAGCGATTCTGGAAATTTTTTTAGTGTAAACATGGCTGGAAGAAATCGGATAAACTAGATGACCTGCCAAGATGTTTCCTGGCTTAGTAGCCAATGGATACAGGTGCTAAAGCGGCAGAGATGGGAACGTTCACCTATGCTCCAAAAAGTAAGAATTAAAAAGCAGTACTGAAAATAATCTTCTTTTTTTTTTTTAATTTTTAATTTATTTTTGAGGGAGCACAAGCGGGAGAGGGGCAGAGAGAGGGGGATAGAGGATCTGAAGCAGGCTCTGCGCTGACAGCAGCGAGCCCGATGTGGGGCTTGAACTCAAGAACCATGAGATCATGACCCGAGCCGAAGTTGGACGTTCAACCAACTGAGCCACCCAGGTGCCCCTGAAAATAAATCTTCTTAAAAAATGTTTATTTATTTATTTTGAGAGAGAGAGAGAGAGAGAGAACTAGCATGAGTGGGGGAGGGGCAGAGAGAGAGAGGGAAAGAGAGAACCCCAAGCAGGCTCCATGCTGCCAGTGCAGAGCCCGATGTGGGGCTCCATCCCATGAACCATGAGTTCATGACCTGAGCAGAAGTCAAGAGTCGGACGCTTCACCGACTGAGCCACCCAAACGCCCCTGAAAATAATCTTTTACTTCATAAATGGGGGTAGGAAGAGTTGTTTTCTTCAGGGAAGGACCCTTGCCTATTCCAGTTTGTTAAAAACATGTCTTGACTTTTGCGGTTTCAAATACACAGTAAGAAAGCAAATTAAACAAGCAGCTTAAGCATAAATAGAATTTAAATGTTAGTTTCCAAAGGACTGTCTATAAGAATAGGTTCAAATGTTATTAATTAGATCTTTAACCTCTGCATCTAAATAATCAAAATTCCATAACTTACTAAATATAAATACAAATTCCATGATAGAGAGCTGGTGTCTAGTTTCGCTTATTACAGGGCTGCTTGACAGATGAAGCATCGAGTCCTTGGCTGCATGATAGGTCACAGCCAGTCCCCCTTCTAACTGTGTCACTGGAAATTAGGGCTCATTGTCTAAGCTATTTATACACATATGCAAAGTGCAACCATATTTAGAAGCATAGTACTTTCTCATAGCTGTGGCTAGCCAGCCATTTCAGACCTCTGTTAAAAATTAAACCTTTTGGTTGAGTTGCTTTTTTTTCTGATGTCAAAGATAGTGTCATGGGACTTTTTTTTTTTTTTACAAGGCAATCTTTATTATGTATTATTCACAACTCTTTGTCCCTTCTAGTGCCATTTGCTAGACTTGGATTATTACTCTTATTCTCTTTCTAACTACCTTTCTGCATTTCATCCAAATTTAATTTGGGTTTTAACCATAGCTATCACAGACAGAATTAGTATGTATTAAGCATTCATAAGGTACACATTATTAGGAATAGTCTTAGACATGGAAATAATTCCATTTAGTTCCAATAAAACCAAATGAGAATTCCTGAACCTCTCTCCATAAAGGTATATGGCAGGTCAAGTCCAGGAGCTGGCTGTCTTCAACAAAAGGTAACATTAAGAGACAGGGCAGCAATGGGGATCTCCAGATCAGTGCTTCTCGAAAGTCAGTATGTGTAAGAATCACCTGGAGAATTGCTAAAACACAGACTCTTTAATGTCCAGAGATTCTGCTGGACTCAGTAGGTCTGTAATGGTGCCTAATAATTTGCATTTCTTTTTTTTTTAAGTTTATTTATTTATTTTGAGAGAGAGAGAGAGGGAGAGAGAGAGAGAGAGAGAGAGAGAGAGAGAATCCCAAGCAGACACCACACCATCAGCGGGGAGCCTGACACAGGGGTCAAACCTACAAACTGTTGAGATCATGACCTGAGCCGAATCAAGAGTCAGACACTTAACCACTGAGCCACCCAGGCGCCTCAATAATTTGCATTTTTAATGTGTTTCCATGGGATCCTGAAGTTGCTGGTCTAGGGCCCTCTCTTTGAGAATAACTGCTCCAGCAACCATAGGACTAAACCAAAATCATCTGGAAAGTCCAAGTCTTCCAGCCTGCTACTCTTGCCAGTCACCAAAGGACCACAGATAAAGGCTACCATCAGTGGAAATGGGTTCTTCCAGGAGAGCCTATTAGATTTCCATTAGCTAAGTAATCCTGCTTATCTCCAGGAAGTAGGATTTTAAAACCTTAGATATCAAAGCTTAACAGTCACCTTCTTGTTACTCAGAACTCTTGCAAATTGCCATAGTTCATGAGCGCCTAAACAGAGAAGCTCCAATGGCTCATGACCACCATTTATTCAGATCAAAGGAATCCATTCAAATAGTGGGTGGCCTTTAGTGGCTGAAGGTAGGAGAGGAGTCTACAATAGGAATGCACCACATTTATTTAACCGTTCCCCTAGTAATAAACATGTAAGTCCCTTCCAACACTTATTTTTCACTGTTATAAAATCCATGGCAAGGAAGAAACTGGGGTATACTGGAATACTCTCATTCATGCATATGGATATATCTGTGGGACTGATAATTAGAAAAAGAAATCCCAAATTGGATCAAAGGCTATCACATTCTTTATGTATATAGTGTCTTTACTTCTTACATTCCAGTTTTAGGACTATAACCATCTTTCAAAAGCCTCTGAAAGAAGTAACTACTTCACCAGTAATTCCACCAGTAATTCTTTCATTCTCATATTTTAGATTCCTTATTTTATAGACTATAAGAGCCAAATAAAATCATCAAAATACCTTTTCATTTTTTTTGTACAGTTAATTGTCACCTGGTCAATGAACACTGTTTACTAAGTACTACCTTCTGCTGACACATGGAAGAAAAGAAGATATTTTTAAAAAAGAAACAAGGAAAATCTAGTTTCTGATCATATGCCAAAGTATATTAAAATTGTATCTGTTGGGGGCCCCTGGGTGGCTCAGTCGGTTAAGTGTCCAACTCTTGATCTCACCTAAGCTCAGGTTTGTGAGTTTAAGCCCCACGTCGGGCTCTGTGCTGACGGTGCAGAGCCTACTTGGGATTCTCTCTCCCTCTGTCTCTGCTCCTCCCCTGCTAGCTCTCTTTCAAAACAAATAAATAAACTTACAAAAAAACTGTATCTGTTGGGAAGATATGTGCTCCAGGCCCACTGGCTTTTCCCCAGTTCCTGAAACCCTCCAAGCAGCTTTCCCTCTACAGGCTTTGGAACATCCTTTTCTATTCATTTCTATGCTGCCACTTCCAGCCCCCTTCTGACCCTGGCATAAACATCATTTCCTCAAAGAAGTCTCCCGATGCCTCCAATCTAGGTCAGGTCTCTTCCTGTGTGCTCTTACAGGACCACATTCTTTTCTTTCAGAGAACTTAGTGTGTAATTATGTGTTCATTAGAGTCATTGTATGATTAACTAGACTATAAATTCAAAAGATCAGGGACTGTGTTTATGTCTGCTTCTGTTATCACTTTATTCAGAGCATCTAGCTGAGTGCCTGGCTTACAGGTGAAGCTCAAAAATTACAGAGGGAAAAAGAGGGAATCTGAAAGAATGAGAATATGAGTATGTGACTTCTTAAAAGACTTGAGTGAACAGAAACATTTCTTCTTTTAAAAAAATTCTTTTAAGTTTTATTATTTAAATAATCTCTATACCCTACATGAGACCTGAACTCATGACCTTGAGATCAAGACTCGCATGCTCTTCTAACTGAGCCAGCCAAGCGTCTCAGAAATATTTCTTCTTACTGCAGATCTCCAGTAGGGTATTTGAGTATTTAGTCTTTATGAAAAGATTGTGACGTTAAAGAAATTTTTGAAAGTGAAAAAAATTCACCCTTGTACCGACCACCCTAAGAGAGAAGCTATTCTTTCTTATAGTTTTTTTCTAATCTTTGTCCACATGCATATTTTTATAAAATACAGCCATCCATGACATGAAGAGACTAGAGCTAGAAACAAAATCTTATGTGACAGTTTCTTCTTAGAGAAGTAGAGTTTCCTTTTACAGAAAAACGAACACACAAACAAATACTGTAACTTGCAAGGCTATTCAATAGAAAGCCATAGGCGCATGATATGAGCGTAACAGTACACACATATTTTGGTGTTTGGATACGGCATTACACACCTGTTTTTATAAGTTAGACGAACAGTTCTCGTACCTTCCCATTTCCCAGGCTGCTGTTCTTTGGAAGCCTGTTCCCACTTAGAAATAATGTCACAAATCTAGAAGGGAAGTGGAAATTGGAGATTTATAGCAATTTTTAAATCAGCACTTTTGGAAGACAAGCATGTCTGCAAACTGAAAAATTTCCAATTAATATGATCAAACCAAATGGACTGAAGCCATTTGTTTTAAGCTCCGGTGTACCCTTGGTTTTAGATTTAATTATAAATTGCTCTTTGGTCCACTTATCCTTTTGGACACCCATTAACTCTGGACTGTAGCCATGAATTTCTTACTCAAAAAGGAATCTTAATGAAAGACTACATGAGAAACAAGAAGATTCCAGGAATTACTTCATAATTTAGTCACGGAAGAAGCAACTTTTCCACCTTCTGAGTTTATGAAGACTGGAATAACTGAAGTTATCTCAAAGACACTTGAAGTATAGTCTTAAGATTCTTTGATTGGGAAAGAATAAAAATTCTTCAGGAACCAAATAAACGTTTGCTTGTTTTTCAACAGGTCATTTAGAGAATTATAAATAAAAGTTTTCACGACCATGTGATAAGCAGTTATTCAGCAAAGCCCCTAACGTTTACTCAGCTCAAGTCAACCAAAAATGCTAGTTTATCTTCTTGACTAATTATTAACAACAGTGCTCTAGGAATGTGTGTCTCAAAATTTACATTTGAATTTGCTGAACTAAATAGGACATAGCTGGAGCTGAGGAGAAAAAGACATTCACTTATCTAGATTTCTCAATATGTAGCCACATAGGCAGGGGTGTAGGGGTGGGGGGATGGTAGCACACCTACCAACCAACATTCCTAATGAGCTAAGTATGAACTTCAACAGTATTCGGTGGAACCCCTTCAAGCCCCAACAGGTTGACCTGCAAGTGAAGCTGGGCTTTGATAGTTTGACGAAAGAACTGACATTTCATGTCCTCTAAACTTATGGCAGCTACTGCTTATGAGTCTGTTTCTTCTCCTATTCTGCCCCAATTCTTTCATCTTTGAATCATAGGGACACCTTCGCCCCGTAACAAGGCACTTACTCCCGAGAGCAATCAAGGACCCTATCAAGTAGGGAAAGGGTCCAGACCCAGTTCTAGCTGTGTGATTTGGGGTAAATCATTTTTTGCTCTTGGGGTTCAGCTTCCTTGTTTGCAAAATAAGTGGGCTAACTCCGATCAGGTTCCTTATGGTTCCATATTCTCTATTTCTAACTGTTGCCATTGCTACCTGGAAACTTTGTTAGTGTCATTTTACTATGACCTAGGAAAGAGTTTTTAAAAGTCTTCCAATTTTCCATCTTTGTTCGTGATTTTCCTTATGTTTGGAATTCCTTCTTTATCTCCATAGGTCCATTTTCTACCCATCCTTCAAAGTCCAGTTCAACTCTTCCTTATTTTCTCATGCTGAACTTAATCTCTCCATCTGTGGAATATTCACAGCACTCTTAAAACATTTATCACTTTCAATTCTAGTTTAAGGTTATCAGTGTATAAGGCTGCTCCTCCCGAAGCAAATCATAAGTTCACTGTGAACAGGGACTAGCCCAGCTCCTCCAACAGCGGAAAGAAGTATTGTCTTGTGAATGAGTACAATAAAAAGCTATTTTATTAGAGCTTCCATACGTCCACTCTTATTACCCTACTAGTTGGGGCATTGTTGCTATTACTAATCCTTCCCCTATCTTAACATGGAATATGTGTGTGTGCAGATTGTGTCAAGAATTCTACGACTTCAACAAAGTCCCGCAACCCTTTTTTATTGGGAAGATTAGATTACTTAGAATTTTTGAAACCTCTTGACCTAATAAGCCTTTTGCAAATAGCAAAAAGTAGCTTCTTTGCTGTTGGTGGGGTCTGCCTTCTTAAAAGGAGTCGGCTTTACCTTAACGTTTCCTTGAAGACAATGCTCTAAATCCCTGCCAGAAGGATCGTCTGTGAATAATGCAAAGCCAGACTGTGTTGGCTTTCTCATGCCTGTATCCTGGTTCAAAGTATTCAAAAACTCTTCCACTGTGGTGGACGCATCAAATCCAACTACCTAAGCAGAAATAACAACATTGTTCTCTTAATAAAAGCAACTATGTACATTTCAAACTTAACTTTCAAAAAGGATTTAAGGGAGAAACAGGCTATATTTGATGCATGATTAATGATAACGTATATTTATCTAGATGCTTAAACTCCCCCCCACGCCACAGCTCCACTGGAGAAAATTAATGTCATCTTAATTGCTAGCTTGCTGTAAGAATTCAGAAATCTTGGCTTCAGCCAACAGACATGAATTCAAAATACAAAGATCATTTGACAGCTATAAACATCTTGCAGAGATATCATGCCTACCCGTTAAAAGCAAACCAAGAACTACAGTACGATATGAAATATTTAAGCAAATGAAAAAAATTGCACAAGAAATGCGCTTAAACAGTCACAGGGATGTAAGTAGAGCACAGGGAATATAGTCAATATCCTTGTGATAACTTTGTATGCTGACAGATGGTAACTAGACTTATCTTTGTGATCATTTAGTAATGTATATAAATGTCGAATCACCATATTGTACACCTGAAAGTAATTAACATTGTGTGCAAACTGCACTTCAATTAAAAATGAATAAATACAGAAAAATAAATAATGTCTGTTCCTTTAATATGCAGTTACTTATCTGAATTCTGTGATAAAAAAAAAAAAACTCTGGCTACAAAGACTAATTGCCAGCTTTGGAACATGTTTGCTTCAGGTAATAAGGGAACATCTATATCTGAGAGCTCGAAGGGCCTGGAGGAGTTTTCCCACATAATTCCTAAGATTTGGAGACTTCAAAAAGACTAAACTTGTACACACCCACTGTCAGTAATTATTTTCTCATCTAGCAAGTACACTGGTTGGGAAAGGCATCAACCAAAGTATTTTTGATTTTTTCCATGAGAGTTGTAAGGGCAGTAAAATTCCTCCCTTATTTGGCTCAATGTGGATTGCAGTTTGAATCCTTCTTAGCACAATGGTTTCAAAACTCAGCTGTTCTGATAGAAGACGTAACATATTTGCACATTTACGGTCACTGCCAGCTGCTGACAAAGGTAGGTAGGCAGTCTCACTTCTCTGTTCCACAGAGGACACACGCACGATTCAAGGTTAAGCAAGCATGCTTTCATCAGCCAGAAAGTGTAACCCACCTGATAGATCCCATTCATGAAGTGCACGGGGATACTGAAGGGCAAAGAATGATGATAAGGGTTTCGAAGAAGGGTTGAAAGGATTTCCATCCTTGAGGGTCTTGCTTCTCTGTCTCCATTTTGTTGTGTTCTTTCTACGCACCGTTGGCAGTAAATGGCATATTTTCCAAATTCTGTCCTATAATATACAACTTAAGATCAAGCCTAGGAATAAATTTAAGACACCCTAATACATTAGGTACGTGTACATTACAATGTATTATGCTAATTTTGACAATAATTTTTCTTTTTGATAAAAGTTGTTAAAGTTGAGTTGTTAAAGTGTTACAACTTTTCTCAAATTCTAGTTTCTTCACTTTTGCAACTGACTGAATCTAACTTCCCCACAAAGCATTTTCCCTCTTTATTGTATTATTATCATCACAAAATGAATTTAAAGTTACCAGTCATTATACAGTCAAAATACAGTAATTGCATTAACAAACACAAAGGAAATAATTGTATAAAAATAGTATAAGATAACTCAGGAAAAACATGATGTAGCAGAGTTCTCCTTTGAGGTTAGTGCTTGACTGCTACACAAGGTAGGAAAAATATCTCCAAAAAAACAAATAGATGTATTTTCTTTCTTTACCCTATAAAACATGCACTTCGTAAAAAATTTTAAGCATTAAACAAAACCTCTGGAGTAAATAAATACAAAAGCTGGATAGAGATCTTATTTGCCCTCATTTGTTACATTCCATTTTTATGAAAGCAGACTGATAATACCTCCAAATATATTTGTGTTGTGAAGTGCCTTCTAGGCAGACTTTAAAATGTCACCCTTTAGGGGCGCTTGGCTGGCTCAGTTGGTAGAGTGTGTGTCTCTTGATCTCAGAGTTGTGACTTTGAGCCCCAGGTTTGGCATAGAGATTACATAAAAATAAAATCTGTAAAATGCCACCCTTTGTCTAGGGGCTCTTCAGTGACTGCAACTAAAATCACATGATGTTGGGGCGCCTGCCTGGCTCAGCTGGGAGAGAATGGGACTCTACATCTTGGGGTCTTGAGTTCAAGCCCCATGTTGGGTGTAGAGATTACTTAAAAACAAACTCAATAAATGAAAATAAATAAACAAACAAACAAATAAATAAAGTCACACAACTTTGATCACAGTCTCCAAAATATAATCTGAATTGGGGAATACTTTCCCACTATTTCCAAGTTGTTTTGTCTCATTGTGTTGGTCTGTTTTAGACCCAGAGTCTATTTAAGCACCTAACGTGAACTTGTTGCACAAAATGATCCTGATAAGCCTTGGCTGGGTGCCCTGGGTCTCACTGTAAGAAAGCTATTCTGACAGTTGGATTTTAGATGTCTTTTCGAAGGGAGTAAAAATTCTGAAGTAATTCAAATACACACAAGCATAAGAGGAAGGAAAACCATCAGGGAAGTTTTCCTACATAAAAGAATTCAAGTAGAGATGGGGTGCCTGGGTGGCTCAGTGGCTTCAGCATCCGATTTCAGCTCAGGTCATGATCCCACAGTTCATGAGTTTGAGCCCCACATCAGGCTCTGTGCTGACAGTTCAGAGCCTAGAGCCTGCTTCAGATTCTGTCTCCCCCGCTCTCTGCCCCTCCCCAACTAGCATTCTGTCTCTCTCTCAAAAGTAAATAAGCATTAAAAAAAAAAAAAAAAAGAATTCAATGTAGAGAAAAGTAGCCACAGGGAAAATGAAGGAAACAAAACACTTGCTTTTACTGAATGAGCACCCACTAATGCTAAGTCATTCATCCCTGAAAAGTACATAGACTTTTCACTTAAAAATATTCTTTGTCATACTCCTGAAATCATTTTTGCACTATATGCTGATGTGGATGTAAATTAAAAAAATAAAATTAAAAAAAATATTCTTGGTCAGTTTTTCAAGCTCTTATTGCAATCTCCTGTAAGAGATTTAACATAACAAAGGAAATATTTTCCAAGCCTCATATAAACGGTAACCAAGGGCTTCCTGTACCCACTTTTGTTTCACACGTTTCTTCCACAAATATACCTGACAGGTTACTAAATACTTATGACTTATTGTAGACTTTCAGAGACCACACAAACGGTTCAGCTGGCTAGTTTTCTGCACACCTGGAATCTGCATTCCTCTTTAGGTGGAGCCTGAGGAGCCACAGGAAAGGATGATGGGGAAGGAAGAGCCCAACACAGAGAGCCAAGAGCTGCCAGCCCTGGGCAAAGAGAAGCACCATAGGTTAGACACCATCTGGCAGTCAGAGATCCACGTGAGAATCAGTGTAACTGACAGATTATGAGGAAAGGGATGATGATAGTCTTTCTTGGCCCCCAAATGTTTTTGCTTCTTCCACATCAACATTATCTGCTTAGAGCATTTATAATATATAAAAACATAAAACCTCCTCCACATTCCATAATCCATCTAAGTCATATATGCTATTGTCCACAACTAAGGTACCAAAGGCCATGTAGATAGGGTAGTCTTTTTTGACATCATACTCAAAGATTAGGGACATCATTCCTTTTTTGTTCATTTATGTATTTACTCATTCATTGAAATACAGTACTGGCTATGAGGAAAGACAGACTGAAAAACAGTAAAAAATCATATACCCCAAACCACAACCAATCTACTCACACATACATGCATATATATTTATATATGTATATATATAAATATATATATATACATATATATGGCCATATATATAAAAATGTGTGTGTGTATATGTGTGTGTATATATATGGCCATATATATACATATATATATATATATGCGGCAAGTATAAAATATTAGCAGAGATTATCTTTTTATAATAGGATTGTATTTAGTTTTTTCTTTTGTTCTGTCCTGTACTCTCTCTTCTCCTTTATTATTTTTGATTAAGTATATTTTCAATCATTTTATGAATGTTATATGAAAAAGAAGGGGAAAAAGGTACTGTCCTCTTGAGTTACCTACAGTCTAGGAGAAGAGTTATGTATTTTACAATAATTTACAATGTAACATGGTTAATACCATGTCATAATTTTTTAAGTATAACCAATGGAGGGAATGACTATCTACTGAGGGAGTCAGGGAAGAATTCACAGAAGAGATGTTGCCTGGGCTGACTGTAAAGTCTACAGGGTGGGAAGAGAGAAGGGGGATGCAGGTAACAGTAAAAATGGCAGGTTCAAGGTGAAGGATATGTAAAGGCACAGTGTGTCTGAAGAATGGGGTGCGTTTATCCTTTCAGTGTATGCTGGTTGCAGGATGCACAAAGTGAAGTGGAGAAAGAGGAGCTAGGTTATGAAGGGCCCTCAATGCAAATGAAGCTTAAACTTCCAACCTCGCTTGTGCATGGGCCCTCCAAGGCCTGGGAAAGGGCCCTATGGAGTGTGTTTACATGATCCTATGTTCTTTTAAAACGTGTGAAAGTAACATTAAAAACAAAATAACACATTAGTAATAGTATAAGCTTAAACTGGATAAGCTTCAAGTCCCATTAAACCTAGATCCCCTGAGAGTACTATTTGCGAGGGTAAGAAATTTCTGTTTCATCCTGCAGTTAATAGGGGGTTAATAAGCAAAGATTAAAACAGGCATTCATGGAAGAGCAAACTTCAGTGACCAAAAGCCACCTGAAAATATACTCAGCTGCACTAATAGTTAAAGAAACGTATCCTAAATCAATAATGAAATACCACTCTTTACCTGGGAAGAATTTAAAGGAGTATTACACTGAACATTGTTCAAGATATATGGAAATTCTAGAAATGGATTCAAAGAAATTTGGTGGACTTGTACACAGGGTTTAGGTTCAAAGTTGTCTACTATAGGGGAATTTGTTATAAGAAAAATGACCGGAAAAACCTAAATGTGTAGCAATTGATATCAATACACCATTAATGTTTTTGAAGAATGTTGAAGGATATAGGGTAAATGATTACAGTCTACAATTTTACAAAAGTAGTATGCACACTACAACTTTAGTAATGTGAAAAACTGAGTGTGCATAAATATACTCACATACAGCTTTATTTATATAGGAACATATAGATACATAAGTAACCTGAAAGAATACATATCAAAATATTAATAGCTACTTTTCCTTTTCATACTTTTTGTATTTTTGAAATGTCTATATTGAATATGTATCATTCTTACAGTGAGGAAAACAACATCGTCTTAAATTGCATGTATATGTATCAATATATACCTGCAGCGGTCCTGGTTGATTCTGTGGCTGTCTCCGTCTTGTCTGTTTAATGAGCTGACAGCAAATTTCATTCTGTAGCTCAGGATGTGTCAGACAGATTTGCAAAGCACTCTGGGCTAGAGATATATGGTAATCAATAGCAGGGGAGTCAACTGCTGCATTTATAAAGAGCTGGCATGTCTGAATTAAACAACAAAAAAAGACATATTCAAGGTGAGAAATGATTAGATTTATTCTGCATGAATTATGTCAATTCTCTTCATAGCAACAGTTTTTCTTTAAAAGAATGGAATAAAATATATTATGATAACACTAACCAAAGAAATCTGGAGTGGCTACATTAATATCAATGTAAAAAAAAAAAAGCAAAAAACAAACAAACAAAAAACAAAAACAAATCGGGCAAAGTAGAATTCAGAGCAAGGAATTCTGCCAGAGATAAAGAGGGTCATTTTATAATGATAATGGGGTCAGTTCTGCTAGAGGACATAACAGTCCTGAACATTTACATACTTAATAACACAGCTTCCACATTTATGGAGCAAAACCTGATAGGATTGCAAAGGGAAACGGGCGAATCCACAATAAGAGCTGGAGATTTCAATATCCCTTTCTTAATAATTGAGAGAACAAGTGGACAGAAAATCATTAAAGATTTAGAAAACTTGAACAACACTATTAACCAACTTGACCTAATTGACATGTATAGAAAATTCCACCCAAGAGCAGAATATGCATTCATTTAAAAAGTATACAGAACATGTTGCTGTCCAGTTTTCCCAGCACCACGTGCTGAAGAGACTGTCTTTATTCCATTGGATATTCTTCCTTGCTTTGTCAAAGATTAGTTGGCCATACGTTTGTGGGTCCACTTCTGGGTTCTCTGTTCTGTTCCATTAATCTGAGTGTCTGTTCTTGTACCAGTAACCGTAGATGATTACAGCTTTGTAGTATAGCTTGAAGTCCGAGATTGTGATGCTTCCTGCTTTGGTTTTCTTTTTCCAGATTGCTTTGGCTATTCGGGGTCTTTTCTAGTTCCATACAAATTTTAGGATTATTTGTTCTAGCTCTGTGAAGCATGTTGGTGTTATTTTGATAGGGATTGCATTGAATATGTAGATTGCTTTAGGTAGTATTGACATTTTAACAATATTTCTTCTTCCTATACAGGAGCATGGAATCTTTTTCCATTTTTTTGTGCCCTCAATTTCTTTCATAAGCTTTCTATAGTTTTCAGTGTATAGATTTTTCACCTCTTTGGTTAGATTTATTCCTAGGTATTTTATGGTTTTTGGTGCAACTGTAAATGGGATCATTTCCTTGATTTCTCTTTCTGTTGCTTCATTGTTGGTGTACAGGAATGCAACTGATTTCTGTGCATTAATTTTATATACTGCAACTTTGCTGAATTCATGAATCAGTTCTAGCAGTTTTTTGGTGTAATCTTTAGGGTTTTCCATATAGAGTATCATGTCATCTGCAAAGAGTGAAAGTTTGACCTCCTCTTGGCTGATTTGGATGCCTTTTATTTTTTTCTGTTGTCTGATTGCAGAGGCGAAGACTTCCAATACTTTGCTGAATAACAGCAACACACAGAAGACTGAACCTCGACCACTTTCTTACACCATACACAAAAATAAACTCAAAATGGATGAAAGACCTAAATGTAAGACAGGAAGCCATCAAAATCCTCGAGGAGAAAGCAGGCAAAAGCCTATTTGATCTTGGCCGCAGACACTTCTTACTCAACACATCTTTACAGGCAAGGGAAACAAAAGCAAAAATGAACTATTGGGACTTCATCAAAATAAAAAGCTTCCGCACAGTGAAGGAAACAATTGGCAAAACTAAAAGGCAACCGACAGAATGGGAAAAGATATTTGCAAACAACATATCAGATAAAGGGTTAGTGTCCAAAATCTATAAAGAACTCAAACTCCACACCCAAAAAGCAAATAATCCAGTGAAGAAATGGGCAAAGGACACGAATAGACACTTTTCAAAAGAAGACATCCAGATGGCCAACAACACATGAAAAAATGCTCAACATCACTCATCATCAGGGAGATGCAAATCAAAACCACAATGAGATACCACCTTACACCTGCCTGAATGGCTAACATTAACAACTCAGGCAACAGATACTGGCAAGGATGCAGAGAAAGAGGATCCCTTTTGCAATGCTGGTGGGAATGCAAACTGGTGCAGCCACTCTGGAAAACAGTATGGAGGTTCCTCATAAAATTAAAAATAGAACTACCATATGACCCAGCAAGTGCACTACTAGGTATTTATCCAAGAGATACTGGCATGCTGTTTCAAAGGGGCCAATGTTTACAGCAGCATGGGTTTGTGAGTTCAAGCCTCATGTCAGGTTCTGGGCTGGCAGCACAGAGCCTGCTTGAGATTCTCTCTCTCTCAGTCTCTTCTGCCCCTCCCCTGCTCATTCTCTCTCTCTCTCAAAATAAATAAATAAACTTAAAAAAAAATACTTCAGTATGGATCTCCAGTTGATAAAGGTTTCTTTCCCGTAACCACCATATCATATCATATCCCCCAAATTAATTTTTTTTTTTTTT